TCCCTGCAAATGCTTTTTCATTGATGGAAACAAATAAAAATCACACAGGGCTAAATCCGGTGGATAGGCGAGGCACACCCCGCCTATTCACCGGACTTAGCTCCGTGTGATTTTTATTTGTTTCCATCAATGAAAAAGCATTTGCAGGGACACCATTTTGTGTCATCAGATGAGGTGAGAGCAGCATTGCAGGAGGCCTTACGGGAGGTTTCAAAAAATGGCTTCCAGAAGTTATACGAATGCTGGCAAGTGTATTGTTGCCCAAGGTGATTACTTTAAAAGTCAATATGCATCGGCAATATAAACTTTTTAAGGTAAGGAATTTTAAGCCAAGTCCCCAAACTTTTGGATCGTACTACATATATAGTTAGTCACTTTAATCCAAAAATCAGTTTGGTTGACAGTCTCACAGCACTTCCAGCTAGAAAATTAAGACTTTATTGCACAAATTGAACGGATTTAATTTTTACAACACAGAGAATTGAGACATACAAGACAATATGAAAGATGACTATATTCAGATAGATATGGAACTTTTCAAAAGTATAATTAAATCTTTAAAAATAATAAAGCTAGTGTCATTGGTGCCACTAGCTTTATTATTTTTAAAGATTTAATTAGCAGCAGCAGAGCTATTTTTAAAGATTTAATTAGCAGCAGCAGAGCTATTTTTAAAGATTTAATTAGCACCAGTAGAGCTAATTAAGCGTGGATCTGATAGATTATTTAGAATTTGCAAAAATTTAATGAACAATGTATAAATGAAGAAGTTAACCGACAAGATTGGAAAGTTGGATATCTGTCACCAATACATAAAAACGGTAAAAAAGAAGAGAGTAAAAATTACAGAGGTATTACTGTTACATGTACAGTACATTCAGCAGGTTATATGGAAAATTATTAAAACATTATCTAGAAGAGTAATACAAAGACACGGAAAATGAGGAACAAGCAGGTTTTAGGAGTGGAAGATCCACACTTGATCATATTTTGTGTTAGACAAATAACTGAGAAAAAAGTTGCTAAAAATCAAACTCCATATTTATTATTTGACTTAGAAAAGACATACGATAGTATACCAATTAAAAAATTATGGCAAGTATTAGATAATACAACAATAAACAGGAAAATAATAGCAAGGTTGAGGCTGAAATTTTAAACGCGAAAACGTGTACATCGGACATTCAGCACCGCCTTCCTGTAAGCCTAGAGTTTGACAATGGCATTTGGAATGTCAAGCATGATTCCACCAATTATCCAAACACCATTGTCAAACTTCTAGGCTTACAGGAAAGTGGCGCTGAACATCTGACGTACACATTTTCACGTTTAAAACTTCGGCCTCAACCTTGCTAATCTATATATATAACCCATTCAACAGGTATCCGTCTGTCCGTCCTGTAACCGTTTGATAACGGACACTAGAGGCGCCCCTATCGTGTGTCATATTTCAAACATTCAAATTAAATTAACAATTTTAATTATTATTTAAATTAACAATATAAATTATTATTATTCATTTGGCCAATAAATTATTATTTGGTCAATATAACAATATAAATAATTCAGTATATTTGTAATAGGAATTTATTATTGTCACGGAATGCCTGTAATGTTCACTAGGAGGCGAATNAATTATTATTATTCATTTGGCCAATAAATTATTATTTGGTCAATATAACAATATAAATAATTCAGTATATTTGTAATAGGAATTTATTATTGTCACGGAATGCATGTAATGTTCACTAGGGGGTGAATAACAAAAAACTGGATAGGTTTGAATCACTACGTAAGACCGTAAGTATTGAAATAGTTAAGGTAATATAAGGTAATATTTTAATATCTATTAACCTATTCAACGGGTAATGGCAATTTGTAAATAACGCCCACTAGGGGGCGTCCCAGGCTACTAGTAAATAATATTAAAAAATTAAAATAGCAACAACATTATCTGAAGGATTTCTGGTCACTAAAGGTTTATGCCAAAGTTGCTGTATTTCCCCAACATTATTTAAAATTTATATTCAAATGGCTATGGAAATATGGAAGAGAAAATGTAGTGGTATGGGTCTAATGGTCAGTGATAATACTGTATATACATTATTATTTGCAGATGATCAATTAGTTATAGCTGATGATTATGATGATTTAACATATATGACAAGAAAGCTGAAAGAAGAATACAATAACTGGGGACTAAATATAAATATGGAGAAAACTAATTATATGGTAATTGGAACTGGAGACATACGTGATTTAGTTTGGGAGGAAAATGAAAAAATTGAATTGATTAAAGAATGTGATGAATTTAAATATTTAGGAACAAAGGTTACTAATGATGGTCAGATGGAAATTGAAATTTGGGACAGAATTGTAAAAGGAAGATCTATGAATGTTAAATGAAATCTTACAAGATAAACAAATCATTAAAACTACAAAAATAAACATATATAAATTGTGATTTCATCAACACTTAACCAAATATTTTTCTCCTTTGAGCCTGTCTTGAACTGACTCAATGCACTCCTCAAACATCTCTGACAAGTTATCCTTCCTTAAAGTCAATTCACCAGGCATGATTTTTTTTGCACGGCATTTCTGTAGGAATACTTTAATTTATTTGTTCTTTAGTTTACGAAGAGATATCAGCACTAATCACAGTAGCATATAAATCTGTTAAAAATGGTAACTTTGATTTATTTCTGTCAGCATTTAAAATTCTTTTCCTACCTTTTCAGTGTAATGATGCCAGATAAAAAGCTTGTGACTGTTTCTCACACAAAATGGTCTTGTTACTGGGTAAATATAGAACCTAATTATATGTGGAAAATATTCACTCAGATTAAGCCACATATGCCCTATATTTAGCTGGTAAGCATGGCTTTGGTTTAACCATAATATAAGCTTAAGGAATCTGTCTACAATGCAAAACACAAATTTTACTAGTAGGCAGAAAACTATAGTAACTGTAATAAAAGTAACTATAAATATGTACTAATAATAATGCAAATTACAATATAAGTAAAAACAGCAAATTGACTGTGAAGTTATAGAGTCACTTTCAATTTCAAATTTAAAATTAGCACAAAAACCATTTATAAAATATTTTCTATATTTTTGATATAATTTATTTCAAAATTATGTTGTTATGGAAAAATGTGAGAAATATGCTCTATCCTTTCAAATAGGCTTTTATATGCTTTTATAACTCCTACTGGTCCTAAAACACCAAAAATTTGTTTTTTATACTTATTACATGAAATATCTTTCAAGAAAAAAAAAATGATTTTACACAAAAATCTGGTTCCTAATAATCAGTAATAAGAAAAACAACTTCTCAACTGCTACATATTTCACATCAACACATTTAAACTGACAGATAATAAAATCATGCAAAATTGATACTATGATGTGAAGACATTATATAATACTTTTGCCTTTTTTAATGCTATAAATAATATAAAATATAATACTAATGAAGATAAATCTAAATAAATCTTTAATATGAAATTCATTTCAGCTAAACATTTTGTAGACACACAAATACATACAGATTTGTGTCACTACAAAATATCAGTTTAAATAGAAACTGATGACGTTCAACAGCACAAAGATTATAAATGACAACTAACTCTATCAATGTTAACAAATATAATAAAACAAAATTAAAACACAAGTTTTACTAATGCTTTCAAAGTTCTCATATCCATCATCCTCAGGAAAGAATTAAAAAATCAGTAGTATATTACAGTAAATAGAATAAATACATAAATGCTTGATTTATGTTATAAGTTACATGTGGATTTCAGTTCGAGCAAACATTCAACTTGTATTGCATTCTATAAACCGACATGCAACACAAATTGATCACTTCTTGAACTTTTAATCCTGATAAAATATATAAATAATCATCATCTTTTGTTAAATATTAGTATAAATAAATATTATTGCCAGTTTCAAACATTTATAAAATTACAGCTGCAATAATCATAAAAATTTAATAATGAAAATAGTCAAAATATAATTAAAATTCTATGAGGTTAATGTACATACCTTGTGGTATTTAGCCAAAATCATTCACTTTTATTAGATATGCAATTTCTGGGCAATGATTTACACGAAACAACTGAAAACATCCAAACTGATTTTAGTAAATTAAAATATAATTTTACACAATTTATTTAATTTACATAGTTTATTAGTTGATAGATATTTAATCTATATTTTTTCACTTCATAATTAGATAAACTTTTTAAAAATAAGAAAAAATTTAGACACAATCTAAATAAAATCTTAACTAAAACTTAAAAACTCTTCTATCTTCCACTTAAATATTTGAGGCTTCTCCAATTACTATCATCATTTAAATGCAACATGAGATAGAGTGTTTTGAACTAAACATTTTTCTAATTTTAAAGCATTATTATTATTATTATTATGCACCAAATATATTTAAAAATTTTTTTCTGAATCACAGATGATTTACAAACTAAAATCATTTTACAGATGTTAAGAAGTATGTTAAGCAGTAAGAGTAAACAAAAATACAGGGTTTGTCCGATAAGTATCGAGACTGGTTTTTCCTGCCAATTGGAAGGGGTGCAGGGCGGTCTCTATTAGCAGAATTGATGATGGGGATGTCACGTAAGCTACCAGACCAGGCTTCAGATGTTTCTGAGCCTTTGGAGTGTGTAGATTGTGCCTAAAGTGAAAATACGTTTAGTACTCACATCGAGAGTCAAGATGCAGTGAACAATTGAGCAGCATTTTGCCATCAAATTTTACATTAAATTCAACAAATCCGCTATGGAGACTTTTGATATAATCCGTGAGACTTACAAGGACGAAGCCATGTCCAGAACGTGTGTTTTTCAGTGAC